AAAGTTCTTTGAAAGAATGTGAAAAGGAGATGGGATGTTGTTTGCATTTTTAAGTAGCATGGTCAGATGACATTTGAACAAAACTGTGAAGGATCAGAGAGTGAACTACAGGGATTTCTAGAGGGAAAAATACACGAAGAGGGAACATACTGTGTAAATGCCCCAGACAGAAAGAAGTATGTCTGGCTTGGGCAAGGCCAATGCAGAGGCCAGAAATAATAATAATAGAAATAAAGTAGCTAACTTCTGTTGAAAAAAAAAAAACAGTGAAGTTATAAAAACATTGCCAATTTGACAATTAGGTTTGAAAAGGGAAGAAAAGACTGTGGCATCAAAATAAAGAATGGAATGCTGCCCCTATCCACTGTGGCCTACTTTCCACTTTGTATAAAAGAAAAGAATTTGAAGCCACACCCGTTTAATTTTTGGTGTTTTGTGGCATTTTAATTTCTTCTAATTCTTATGTTTTACTTTTTCTACAAGAAATACTCAAGCAAACTCATACTTCAGCTGTCTGCATCTAAAACCTATTTGGTGATGATGTTTTGTTGAATTGTACACGAGCTCTGTATGGTTTTGTTAACCAACGACCCCTTTTAAACTCAATGACAACAACAAAACTAGGATCAAATGTTGAGTTTTTAAATCTGGCATCAAATTCTATAGTATAAATTTAGTTATTTTGAAGTTATTAATTAAATTGATATTACAGTCATGGAATTTTTTTTCTTTTGTTGTTAATCCTCACTAGAGGATATTTTTCCATTGATTTTTAGAGAAAGTAGAAAGGAGGGAGGGAGAGAGAGAGGGAGCGAGAGAAACATCGATGTGAGAGACACTCATTGACTGGTTGCCTCCCACACGACCCCAGTCAGGATTGGGGATTGAACCTGCAACCCAAGTATGTGCCTTTGACTGGGAATCAAACTTCTGACCTTTTGGTCCTAGGGCAGATGCTCTAACTGTTGAGCCATACTGGCCAGGACCAGTCATGGAAATTTATGTCATATATAAATTTCCTCAAAAGTGTTTCATTGTGTTTACTGTATAACTTAAGTATCCTGTTCTTTCTAAAATATATTAATTTATATTTTCACAAATAAAAAATAAAACCTATATGGTCCTAGGTTTAATTTTATTCAGGTCATAATAATCTCTTAGCTAAAGTGCTTACAACTAACTGATCATTAATTTAGCCTCAGGGCATGAATAATAAATATAAAACATACCAATTAAATGTTTTTAAACTTTATTTATTTTACTTTTCAATTACAGTTGACATTTGATGCTGTATTAGTTTCAGGAGTACAGCATAGCAGTTAGACATTTATATAACTTATGAAGTTATCATCCCAATAAGTCTGATACCATGTATAGTTATTACAATTTTAGTGACTATATTCTCAGAAGACTGTACTTGACATCCTGTAATTGTTTTGAAACTGCCTATTTGTACTTCTTAATCCTTTCACCTTTTTCACCCAACCTCCCAAACCTGCTCCCATCTGGGAACCATCAGTTTGTTTCTGTATCTATGAGTTTGTTTCTGTTTTGTTTGTTTATTCTGCTTTTTAGATCCCACATGGAAATGAAATCATATGGTACTTGTCCTTCACTGTGACTCATTTCACCCGGGACAATACCCTCTAGGTCCATGTTGTCCCAGGTAGTAAGATTTCATCCTTTTTATGGGTAAGTAATACTCAATTTTATATACAGGGTGGAGCAAAAGTAAGTTTACAGTTGTTTGTATGGAAAATAGTACAATAATTAATAAATAATAATACAAGAATAAATTTCATATTTCTTATATTCACAACTATAAACCTACTTTTTGCCCCACCTTGTATGTACTAGTTCCTCTTTATTCATTTGTCTCTTGACTGTGGCCCATTTAATCCATTTACATTTAAGGTAATTATTGATAAATACATGCTTATTGCCATTTTATTAATAGTTTTCTGATTGACTTTGTAGTTCTCTGTTTTTATTATCTTTCTCTTTTCTCTTGTATGTTGATGACTTTCTGGAGTGTTGTATTTGAATTCCTTTCTCTTTATTTCTTGTATAGCTCTTGTAGATTTTTGGTTTGTGGTTTCCACGTGCTTCATATATACTAAGCTATGATTATAACAGTCTATTTTAAGTTAATAGTTGCTTAAGTTCAAACACTTTCTAAAATGGCTACCATTTTTACTTACCCCCTTCATGTTTATGTTTTCTTTTTCATTATATTTTACTTCTTTTGTGTGTTTGTGTGTATCCCTAAATTTACTATTGTAATTACATATGATCTTCCTACTTTTGCCTTTTAACCTTTTACTAGCTTTAGTGTTGGTTGATCCACTGCTTTTACTATGTGTTTGCCTTTGTCCATGAGAATTTTTTATTCTTTATGATATTTTCTTATTCATATTTTTATTTTTTTATTCTTTTTTGAAAAAGTCGCTTTAACATTCTTATAATATTGGTTTGATGGTGATGAACTCAATCAGCTTTTCTTTCACTTTTGTCCAGCTTTGAAAATCATGTAAACCAGGCTTAATTTGTTACTGTTTATCTTGTCTCATCATGAACAGATAAAATGGCATCTTCCTTCCTTGTCTCACCATCCTTGCTCATTGAGGAATAATAGACATCAACTGCATGCATGCCTATGTGGTGGGCTATCTTTCAAAATTAACTACCGCATTCTTTCTCTTTATGTCAGGTCAGCCTGTAGAAGTGGACAGCTCCTTCTGTTAATGATGTGGCTGGTGGCCAAGTCCAAACACTGGTTGCTTCCCGTAGGGTTGTGTTCTTAACACAGGCAATTCTCTGATTTTTCCTAAGCCTGAATGAATTGCTCCAGAGTCTCACTGAAGTTCTTGTCATAGCAACTCCCAATTCTTAAGCAATGTCTGTTTGCCAGATGCTTTGCACACACTGTTTCACTTAATCTTCACAACAATGTGTTACAGGTGCAGTTATTATTTCCATTTTAGAGCTAGGGAAAACTGAGGTTCCAAGTGGATAAGTTAACATGTCCACATTAATACAGTTAGAAATTGATGGAACTGAGATAGGAATCCAAGGTGATCTCATTTCAGGGCCTGCTTTTTTAGTCTATAAATTAGACCACCCTTCACGTAGAAAATTTGGGGACATGAATAGCCAAGGCATTTCTGAATATTTTCTGAGTTCCCTTCATGAGGATTTGACCAACAGTAACCACAGGTTTTGTCTTCCCTGCTCTGGCAGCCAGCCACCTTTCCCCACTGGCTTACCTCCTTCCATTTGACCAGACATGCCCTTGAATGCTCAAAATTCCTCCTCCCCTGGCAGAACTGACATTGCAAATCCCATAACTGTGACTCTCCAGATTTCTCGTGCTACCAGAGGTGTGAGATAGAGTGGGGGTTCCTCTGGATCCAGGCATTCTATGTGGTTTGCATGATGCATTTATTTAACTGAAAACTAGGTTTCTGAACTATCTTTTGAAAGTCCTTCTAAACTACACTCACTAAAGTTCTCAGCAACTGATGTCAAGTTGGCACAAACTTCATGACTAAGGATCTTCCTTAGTGATACAGTAAAAATCTACAATGGAGTATTGGGTTAGGGTCAGGAAATATCAAACCATGACACATTCTTGACAGAGAAGAACTTGGCAGTAAACTTTAAACTCAAGGTGATAGATCTGAGGACAAGGAGGCTCAGAGGATGGAGTGAATTATGTCTGGTCATTTGACTCAAAGGAAGTGGAAGCAATGAGATTAGTCCCAGATACTTTGGAATTGTCCTCTTATAACATTGCCTGGTTCCATGGGTTTTGAGTGACATCTGGTTTTTTCACTGGTAAACTCCAGTATATATTGAGGAAGCCTTGAGGCTATCAGTAGGAGGGGTGCTTACTTTCAGAATGGCTACTGTTTTCTGAACCCCTCCCATGCCTCTTTCTTGACTTGCTTCATAGAAGAAAGTAATGTCCACCATTCTTTGCTATTTTTCAACTTTCTTTTTCCTCCTGGAAGATGCATAAGAGCAAGCAGGAATAGGAGAGGTTGGAGAGGTGATGGTAGGTGCAGCTTTTGAACTAAATCAGAGGAGGTAAAGCTAGAGATTTATCTTCATGTCAAGCAAAAGGCCATTAAAGATTTATTTGTTCCAATTTATGGACTACATAAATAAATTCAAAATTACCTAGGCAGTCTCATAAAAGAAATCCCAAATTAGCAGATGGCTTCTTCAGTGCAACTTATTATGTAAGGTAGTTCTGATGGAAGATTATCAACAACACTCACAAAACAACTTTAGAGCCAAGAAAGAAGGGATATATTATAATTATTTTACTAAGAAGTTTTGGAATATGTTTCTCTTGTTAGAATATAAAACACTAATTTCGAACAGTAAACATTTCTGAATTATTTTCCATTCCACAGAATTTAAATGTACACAGTATCACATGATCAGGGTCACATGTCAAAATACAATCATGCCATTTTCCATAAGCAATTAAAGAATTGATGTACAATGTTATGATAGAGTAAATCACTTATCTCCAAGTATTTAAAATAAAAACGAATGAAACAGACCAATAAATTAGTCTGCTTTTCTTTAATAAGCAAGTACATGACAATGATCCAACTTGGATAATACCTAATACCTAATACCCCAAGCTGCAGCAAGAATTTCACACAAAGCCTTCTGCCCTAGCAGAAGTTACTATCTCTGTTTCCCAATTTTCTCTACAGAACAGATGGAAAACATAAAATGGTTGCACTTCATTTCAAAATTACCATAATAAAACAGTTATACTCTATTTCAGCAAGATATGCTGGTTTCAAGCATAAAACAAACAAACAAATATATCCTGATGCTCATCAATATCTTTTTCCTGATGCACCTTCAAGGCACAGAATTTAGGGCAATGAAATTATGCTAGAGAGGGCAGCTGTGAGAAAAACAGAAGAGAGCAAAAAAAGAAAGAAAAAGAAAAAAGAAAGGAAAACTAGGCCCACCTCTTGAGTACACCATCCACATTCTGGATCCAGTGCAAGGCACCTGGTACAGGACACTGCATTTGACGATGCACATCTGTTGTTTTCTGCCATGGAAGACAAAATGAGGGGTAGGGTTTACTTCCTGTTGGGAAGTGCATACAATTCTAGACCAGAATGTTTTGTGAAAACTGAAATAAGCTGACCTTAAGTACATGCCATCAAAAAAATAAACAACTTCTTTGGGAAGAGTTAACCTGCTGAGTGCTACATTTCCTGGATAGTTATTATTTGGGGAAATGAGAGTGAGAAGAAAATGTGATTTTAGCTAGGTTTTGGGGTTTGGGTTGAATTCTTCTGCAATAATAGAAGACCCTCCAAAGTGTTTATATGTGTTAAAGTTTCATTATATTTCATATTGTCTGAACCAATGAAGTGTTTTTGGATCTAGAGTGTTTTTCCTATAAAAATAATCAAATACAGACCTCAATCTCAACATGTAAATCCATGTTGAGTCATAGTGAATGAACTTTCTTAGAAATAATCTTGATGAACATATATTGTAATTAATTCGTGATAATAGTGATTATTTTTACTTGAAGGATGTGAGAACCAGATATGATTCAGTATTTTAAAGGTAAAGTGGTTAATATGAATTCGTTGTTTTAGTTAATTTAAGTTCTCTGACTGGATCACTTTAAGATTATGACCAATTCACTTTTTCATAGATACCCACACTTGGCTGTGACATTTTAATAATAGTTGTGCCTGGAAACTACTTACTTTTATCCCTTAGCCACTAACTGCTTACACCATTAAAAAGAGGCTCATCATTATAGACTTAAACACATAAAATATAGTGGTGAGTCATACATTATTTTATTATAAGTTTTTAGTGGAATAATCACATATTTTCTATATTCTTTCTACATTCCATACTTTACTATTTACTATGAACTGTCCCAAGGACACTGGAAACCCCAGCATTCTGTCCAGCTTACTCACAGGCACACCGTAAAAAATGTGGACATGCTGGCTCTAAGTAGCTCACAGTCCAGGTGAGAGAGAACAATAAAATGCAGTGTGATAAGCCCAGGAGAGAGATCACCAAGACACTAGGAACATTGTGAGGAGCTCTGCACTCTGCTTTAGAGGGATGGGCAGAGGTGGTGGAAAAGGGCACGTTTAAGGATGGCTCCCCAAAGGCAGTGATATCTTCTAATCTGTGTTTATATCTTTTTAAAAAAATGTAATAGGCATGAAAGAAGACTATGTGTATGTGCACAATGACACAGACATGGTCATTTGAAAGAGGATAGAGCTCACAAAGCCTCTAGCTGTCTCCATCCAAATGGGTTCTCTTTTTCTTCTTTTCCAATGAGCCCCAGTCATTCTAGAATAAAGGGATAAAACAGTTCTGACCTGGAGGTGGTATGGGATGGGGGTGTTGGCAGTGGGAAGAAAGAGAGAGGAACTATAGGACGGTAATTATTGCAGAGAGGTGCTAACTGGGGTGGTAGTGAGTACTCTTCCCTATTAACCCCCAGACACCAATGAGTTAAGCTGCAAATTTTCTAACCTAACATCCCTTTTGTTTTGTTATCTCCTCTCTGTGTCCCCTTGCACCCTTTTCGTTAGCTTCATATCAACTTTTAAAATACATAATCTAGCACTGACCAGTTTGGCTCAACGTTTAGAGTGTTGGCCCGCGAACCAGAGAGACCTGGGTTCAGTTCCTGCTAAGGGCACGTTCCTTGGTTGCAGTTTGTCCCCAGCCCCGGTTGGGGTTGTGTGGGTGGCAACCAGTCGATGTGTCTTTCTCACATCGATGTTTCTCTCTCTCTCTTCCCTCCTTTCTCTCTTCTGCTCTATCTGAAGATAAATGCAAAAAATGTCCTCAGGTGAGGATTAAAAAAAAAAAAAAGTAAAATACATAATCTAAAACTTTACTAATATAAATGCATTGGCCCAGAATTTTCTTTACTGGCCTAGAATTCCAAGGATAAAAAAATAACTAATATTTTGGGCTCCCTTTACTACCAGTGTGGCCACCTAACTATGAAGACTCCATAGCCTAAATACCTTTCAACTGGCTTAGCCTACAAAACTGTAAGACCTGCTTATTCCTGAAGTAGTCAGAAGAGGGAGTAACCTTTTTACTTGTTCCCAGAAAGAAAACCAGTTAGGTCTAGAAATCAAGCACATTTGCAGACCTAACTTGACCTTTACAACTCTTAAACTTGACCCAATTATAACATGGAATTAAGTTTATTACAGATCAGACTTGACCAAGCCTTTTCCGAATAGGTAGGACTTTTGCTCTGGCAGTTAAATTGCAATCTCTTGGAAGGGAAGCAGCAGATTCTATGACTCTGCTCTCCATGTTTGTAATGGTTTTCTGACTCTGTCCTAAGTTAACCCAGATTCAAGTTCAAGTCAGGCTCCTACTTCCATAGCACATGACATAAATAATGAATGTACAAACAAAAATTTGTTTTCTTTGCATTCTTCTTTCTGACTGCTTTCTTTGAAAAGTTCTAGGTCAACCTCTGTTTTCAAACTTAAGACACCTAAGGACAATGACTAAGAGGGACAGAGACGTTGGTTCTGTCAATAATTCTCAAGTTCAAAAGCTGTCATTTCTTAGACTCTACATAACTACTGGAAAATGATCCCATAAATGGATATGGAGGAGGTGAGCCTTGGGGTTCTGCAGAACTAGAGGAAGGCCATAAATTGAACTCCATGGGAATAGTGTCAAACGTTATTGCTGGAGAGTGTCATGGTTAAACTTTACAGACACAAGCCAGATATACTTTGGCAAGAGTTTTAAGGATTTTCTTTTTAATTTTAAAACATGCAAATAAGTAAATATCTAACACAAAAATATCACACCAATTACAGCAATCCTTTATGCTAAATGGACATGCCACTATGGGGGCTGTCACTGTGTGTTAGGAATCTGTGTGTGTGTGTGAGTATGACACACACACTTCTGTGCAAACAGAAATCTTTACACTGACTTCTGTTTACAGACACTGGCAATTTGTCATCAGCCTCTAGGTTCACCCAGTTCATCCCCATCCCTGATTCAACATCACAGGAAGCTAGGAAGGTTTCCTAGCAGCTCTCATTGCTGACACCTCATTAGAGGATGTGCTTGAGTGGTTCTTCTTTCCTCTATGATAGTGGTAGCTCCTTGTCTGGTTATTTGTTCAGTGATGTGGCATTAAACACCTTGTTCTTTATGTTCTAGCACCATGTTTTTGTTAAGGATAGTTTTTTTATTGATTGTACTAGAAATTCTTAAGCTAATAGAAGCATTGAACTACATAACCTCAGAACCCTCTTTTGTACCGTTTTCTTGTTTGTTTCTTTGTTTGTCTTTAGTCCTAAGTGCCTCACAAATCACATGTCATTTAAAAATGTGCTGCCATCACAGAAATCAGTAGAGGATGTTATCATCGTATTGTCATTAAGTGTGGACATCCTGAATAATTCTATTCCTTCATCTCTGAGTATGGGCTGAGAGTCTTACTTTTTCTCATTTTGTTACAACTGGATGTAAAAGATGTGATGAGGAAGCATTGCTAAATGGATGGGAACAAAGTTCCAATTTTTTATAGCACTGCTCCATAGTAGTTACACACCCTTAGGCTAGTTACCTAAATTCTCTGAGGCTCCATTTTCTCCACTGTAACACAGGGCTAGCTATACCTATATCACAATACCTATGTGAGATGAAACGAGCAAGTATTAGCATTCCAAGAATAGTGCTTATATTATAGTAAACACTCAGTAAAGGGACTATTGTAGTGTTGTTATAATTAATATTATATAAGTTAAATATATTTACATATATATTCATAGAAGGCATTATATGTCTTTAAATTTGTTGTAAATGTAAATGGCTATCTTTAAAATGAAACTTACTTGGCTCATAAAGATAAAGGTTTAAAAATATAGCTAATATATAAAAATACCTATGAAAGTACACATTACTATATTTTAGTTATTTAAAAATGATTCTTAAAAGCCAAGTTAGTCAAGTATATACACATCAGTCCTATCACAGACACAATTTTGGCATGACTATAACTGGGTTTCTGAAAATGTCTTAGAACACCTTCATCTTGTTCACATTTTACAAAGTTAACATTGACTCAATCTGAATATTTTAAAATTTTATTATGATGATGATGATGATGTAGATTTATGTAGTTGTTTATGTAGTCATTGATTTAATTACTTTACAGGAAGAGCAAATACAAAAGTACAGGCCACTTTTTAAACATATGAGAAGAAACATGACTGAATGTTTTAGCTATTTCTCAGAATTCAATGTTTACGACACATGTGCAATGACCTATATAACTGTCTTTCATAAAGTATAATAAATATCCATTATTGACAGGATAGAGTACACAAAAATCGGGAAACTGCACATTTATGGCACTCTCCAGGTATTTTTAATTTAGATGATGGGTTTATTCATATTATTTTGAGAATGTTTACAGAAGTGAAAGGAGAAAGAAAATGCACAAAAAATATTAAAGAAGACGACAGAAGATTCAATGTTTAGATGAGGATCTTTCTGTAAATCAAATGATCAGATTAGTGAAAGTTTTAGGAAACATTTTTAATGCTTTTCTGTTCTAAAGTCTATGCCACAAAACTTAAAGGCTTTCCATAGTTATCTGGAAGAAGGAACAACTAAAAGTGATAAATACTGTAGTCCTTGATATTAAGAATCCATCATCTAGATTTTCCTGTTACTCTTAGACAGAATGATTTGTGAAAGAAGCAGAAATGCACTTTTTTTTTTTTCCAGGAAGTATCCTCTTCCTAATTACATTTACTCTACAAATTAAATTAAACTTGGGTAATAATAAAAGTTACTTCCTTTAAAAAAAAAAAAAGTAAACACTGTTATAATGAGTACATAATATACGCTGATAATATTTAAAACCAGGCAAATTGAGCAGATACAGGATAAAGTTTGGAGTGTAACTTTGGGATTTCCTTGCTATTGATGTATATCATGGTCATGTAAATTTTACAGATACCTTCAAAATATATTACCAGATTTTTGAAAGCTCTCTTTTAC